GCAAATGACAGGAAGGAGTGAGTACAGCTGGGGTGGACAAGGAGGCGGTGACCAGCTGACCAATGTCCTGGGGAATTTGGTGTCAGGGTGCTGCTCAGCCTCTCTGAGATGAGGCCTTTTTGGAATTGCACTGTTCACTGATGGGTTTTGCACATTTTTATTGGTACAACGATAATCAGGTGTGTTTGTGAAGGGAGAAAGGAGTGAGTAGCAAGTGATGCTTCTGTAGTGTTGCTGCKGGTGGGGAATGTGGCTTTTGCTCAAGCACTTCCCAAAACTTCTGCTCTGTGGAACTGAAGGAGTCTGGAGCTGAGCTGGGGCCCAGGGACTCTGTGGGAAGCTCCAGCCCATCTGCAGCCCAGCAGCACAATGGGAATGTTTGCAAGAGGGCTGGGGAGCAAGGGGCAGTAAACAGGAAGGAGCTCAGGAAATGAAGGGAATGACATCAAATGTGTCTTCAGCTGCCCCGTGCAATGACAGGAGATACAGGGGCTGTGGTGCTAAGCAGAGTTACATAAATGATTACACAACACAGCTGTGGCAGGAGCCTGGAGATGCTCTGAAGGGAATAAGCAGACACACAGACAAGGCCAGGAAACCAACAGTGAAGGAACCTCATCTTGACAAGGTTTCTTTAAACTAATAAAAAATCAGAGACGCGCCCACAGCAAAACACAACCAACCCCATTGCCAGGGGCAGACCATTCAGTCAAAATGACCACTAGAGTGGCTAAAAAACCTAAAGATATCACTAGGTTGGGGGGCAGCGATAAATTGTGTCATTGTTTCCCTGTGGGATGGCAGAGGACAGAGGACTGTCCCCTCCCTTTGGGACCCATCATGGCCACGTGTCCCATGCAGCCACCCCTGGCTGTGCCCCCTGTGCCTGCTGCTCTTGCTTTGGGCTTTGGAGCATTTTCTTCTGGCATCAGAGAAGCCATTTGYCCTCTGTTTCAGTACTGACACCAGGTGAGCTCAGGCTGGACTGTCACAACACCCCTGGGGAAGGCCAGCAGACTCCTCCAGGTCTGAGCTCAGAAGCCTCCTGCCATTCTGCCTTTCTTTTTAAATGTGGCTGAATTTAAATTTCCAACAAATCCATTGTCACTGGAACCAGAAGGCTGAAGCAGAGCTCTTGTTCTGCTGCACCTATTACAGTTTATACCACATCCTGAATTTAATCCCTCAGCCTGCTTTTCGGATACACTGACCCAACTCCTTTGTCATGAGCTGAGCACTCACAAAGCCCTTGGCTGCAGTGAGAGCTGCCAATATTCACACCACTGGAAAGAGAACCTGGAGAATTTTCTGAGACAGAAAAAACAGATTTCTCATGCCGACAGAATAAACACATTTGGGTTTGCCAGCATCTCTCCTTTAACCACTGGAGTGGATCTGCTAACATTTAAGAGATATCCAACACTTCACATTGCAAGAAGCCCCTTGCAGCTGCTTGAGTTTTAGCACTTCTTTTAAAGTAAATTTTAATTTAAACTGAAACACTCAACATCCCTTCCTTGAGCCTTGCATTAGGCCTGGTGCTTGAAGACAGAGAAACTGGGTGCCAGTTTATCAGCCATCCATGATCCAGAGACCAAATTCCTCCTGATCCTCTCCTGCCAGAGGGTTCAGAGTGAAACAATGCCTAGAAACATTTAGCAGCTGATGGATTCACCATTCAGAAGGGTAAAAGAATGGAAACCCTTTGTAGGAGCCTCCTGGATGGTCAAAGAGCTCAACACAGGTGGATGGAGCTCTTGGAGCTGGCCTTGAACAGGTCACTGGACCCCTGGAAATGCTGCCATTGACTGAAACAACACCCAAATGAAAACTCCACCTCCCTGGGAGTTTGGCAGAGGCTGTGATGTGCCTGCAGCTCCATGATCACCGTGTTTAGAGAGAGWCTGCTCTTGCAACTGAGCACCCAAAGCCAAAGATGCCCCTGAAATCCACTAGAAAAATACATCGGTCCTCCAGGCAAACAAAAGACCAAAACAATGGAAATAATAAGATTAAAAATAGCARGATGAACATTCAGTATTCTGAGGATCCTTTGAAATCCATTAGAGACAAGAGGAAAAGGTGTTTCATGCACCACCATTCACCATGTTTCTCTGTGTAAGTCCATAAATTTCTGTCTCTCCTCAATTTCACGAAGACAATTCAGTAGCCTCTAGCTTCTGTATTTTTAATTTTTTCTCATCTACTAACTATCAGAGGCAGAAAAATAAACACACGACTAGGAGCTGTATTCACAGACAGGAAGTAACTTTAATTAAATATTGTGAAAGTTGAAAAGTTTTTACAGCTTGAATTTCTGCAAAAAAATTATAACAATCTCTACAGTAGTTAGTTTCTCTAACAATAGAACTGTACAGTGTGTGTGTCTATTCAAAAAGATTTAGATAAGAAGGTGAAAGGTTAGTAGTTTCAGAGATGACTTMATTTTAGCTGCATCCTAGTACAACTGTGAGGAAATAGGCATTACTTTATGCAATCCAGTCATTGTGAAGCTTCACCTTGTTAAAACTGAAATCTGAATGTTTCCACTTAAAGCCATATTCTGTAAACAGCTGCATCTTTTACTTTGTAAAAGACAAAGGGTGGTGCGGGGGAGATTTTTGATAAATTCCCGTTCGTCAGATCACGATAAATAGCTGCAACAAAAYGGAATTATGCACATTGTCAAAGGCTCTTTGGACACTGGAGCAGAGACTACAAACATCATGGCTAAAGTGGTGTCAGAATCACTAGGACTGAGTGGAGCTCTACAAGAGTAATCGACGGTGTCACTGGACAAAATATGGCTTTAAATTTGATTACATTGTCGTGCTGTTGCTTATTATGTGAATTAGAATATCGCTTGGAATACAGAGAAGCAATAAACTGATGTCTCTCACATTTTTCCAGTTTTCTCTTCTTTTATTTTCTCACCATGAAAAAAAAAAAAAATCCTGTTTTCTTTCCCTTCCCCCCCAAAAATCACACTGTGACATTCTAGTGAAAACCATTGCAAAATTCATACAGGAAGCATGCACAGTTGCAGCATCGTTGTAAATGATTTCTTGCTCGACTAGAAAAAAGTTATATTGTTTTAAGGTAACAAAACAGTTCTTTTGTGCTTTTCAATTCCGTTTTTTTTCTTAGAATGTTAGTGATGATTGACAGTTCTGGTGCACAGTACAATGTACAAGTGAAATGAATATGATTTGCATTGTTAAGGCATCCAATCTGCTGGTTTATATTTATGTGAAAGACAGAGAAATATACAAGCAGACTTAAGAAAGAAAGTATTTTCATTGAGTTCTATGAAGTTTCTCCCCATATTTAATGCACAAAAATGCGTCATTCCAAAGAGGAGAAATCCCATGCATATTAATAGAGTAAAACAGCATTAGTTTTTGTTAAGCCTCAAAAGCAAAGGATACATTTTTTTAAAATCTACATAACTAAATGCTACAAGAATAATATGCTACTTTTTGCCATATATTGGAAAAAACTTCTTAACTTACAAATAATACAAAAATAGACAATGGCTTTTGGGTGGAAATTAAAAAAAAATGGAAGCATGGTTTTAAACAATACTAAAAAAAACAACCCTATAAATGAAATGTATTAAAATCACATTTAAACAGCTAATACAACGGTGAATGACCAAACAAATCAGCACTTTTCACATAGCAAACATACACAATAAAATAAACTTGTGGGGGACAAAAAGCAATGTACAAATTCCAAAGATAAATACATTATTTATATGGATATTTTACAAAATCCCCCGTAAAACAAACARACAAAAAACAGAAACAAAAAGCTTTTTTTTCTTTAATTAATTTGCAAGTATGTGCAAGCTAAAGGTAGTGAGCTCTTTTTGCAAAATATGCAGTAAAATTCTTTTTTTTTTTCTTTTGTGATATTGAAAAACTGTCTTAAGACATTAAAATGTATAAATAGAACAACAACTTTGGCAAAAAATCACAAAAAATCTACAGTATTTATAACTACATACAAAACACAACAGCAAAGAAAAAATATCAGGTAATGCATCTTCAGAGCTTTGCTGCCTCTTTGACTAATAGTTTTTAAGAACACTTCCCAGATAATGATAGCAAAACTTTTTTTTTTTGTAAAACAGAAGCTATGGTTTTGATTTGAAACCTTCCTAAGAGCCCCACCCCGCCCCCAAACTCGTGTTTCACTACTCAAAAGARTTCCCTGTTGGTGGATGGAGCGTGGTACGAACTGGGAGGGTCGACTGATACAGGAWCGATGCCAGTGGGAGCCTGGGCTGGGAGAGATTTGGGTGGGGAGGGGGCAAACCACGGCTGAGGTTGTGCCCATCCTGCCCTGGSCAAAGCAGCAGGGCAGGGGCAGAGGGGTCACACTGAGCAGCCCCCCAGGGTGGCCCAGTTTGTGTCCCCCGTGCCCAACCCAAAGGGCACAGCTCAGCTGAGGCTGCGTTTGGGGACAGCCGCTCGTTTGGAGGGGTCTGGGATCTCACCCAAAAATAGGGGGCTGTGCTCACCTCCTCCTGCATGTCCAGCATTGCATCTACAGGCACTGGGTTTGCAGTTCCAGAGGAAACATTTGATATTTCCATCCTCACCTTCCCTTCTGCCAGCCTTTTGTCAAGAAAGGTTGGACCTTAAAGTCCCTTTCTAACTTATGGTGTTCAGTGATGAACTTTTCCTGTTGTATTATTTACACAATTTTTCAGCCTGATATTAAAGACAGAGGTTACTAATCCCACCCCTCRCCCTGCCATTATAATCCAAAAATATCAGCTTTCTAGGGAGTGATATCTATTTAATTAGGACATTAAAAATGYGTCATATTAGCAAGTCACCACTGGATAAGCAACATATATGAGCCGACCCTTAATTAAATGGCCATAATTCTCCTACGAAAAACTAACTGGCACTTCTATTCTGTCCCATACAGACTTGTATGTAAATGACACCACTTCATTTTYCTTTATACAGCTTTTTTTTWWWAAAAAAAWTCATAAATTAAAAATGTGGAGTTCCATCTCTAGTGTCCCTTGTGTCATTGTATGATTTATAAAAGACAAATGGTGTTGAGTTAAATCAAGCCTTTAAAAAAACCACAAAAAAACAGAAGGAAATAAAAGCAAGCCCCCACCCTCCCCCAAAAAAAACAAAAAAAAAAAAGTGGATTTTTTTTATCAACATACAATAAATATATCTCCCAGGTACTTGGGATGGACAACTTGAATCAACACCTCGCAATTGTGGATTGTTAATTTCAGTATTTGCAAGGATGGTGATTTTTTTTTTGTTTAAAAATCTGCAGTTATTGTAAGATCCCTCTTTATTTCTTTTTTATTTTTAAAAAGGCCTGAGTAAAAAGTTCCACTCTGGGACTTGTATCAGATTCTCTCTGAAGCAGAATTCAACCTCTTCATTAATAAAATTCTTCAAGGCAATTCTTTCACATGGGGGGAACAATCATGCCAGATATAGCTGTTGGAAGGAAAAAGAGGGAAGACAGAGAGGGAGAGAGAGAGAGAGAGGGAAAAAGTTAATTTTCTGCATTATCAAGCAACTTTTAAAATCCTCAGAGCTTTAGGCATTTACTAGCAACATACTCAGACGTACTTTGATTTAAATTTGTATATAAGTATCACTCATAAGAGACAACTATGTACACAGTAATCATGGGAAGTTTCCCTCTGACTGGAAATTGATTTAAATTGCAAGTGACTTGTTGAAACTATGGTTTTTCTTGTAGCAAAAGTGTCCCTTCCCCCTATTAATATCACACCCCAASTTATTTTTCTGGTTTTAGTTTCAAAATCTCAAAATGCTCAGGAGGCTTCAACTCAACCCAGCCATTGCCACATGTTCTATTTCTGTTTTAAAGGCAAAGCAGGACTTGCAGCACATCTGGGAAAACAGCTGGAATCCCACAGGCCACCACTGGCCCTGGAGGGGCGTYCCCTGCAGTGCCACCCTGGCACGGGTCATTCTCCTGTGCCAGTCCTTCTAAACTTATCCCTGGGACTTAGGGATGCATTTCCAGGTGTTCAGAAAAGGACTGAAACTCTCAAATCCAATTTTGAAATTGAAATACTTGCTTAACTTGTGGGTTAGCAGACCAGTTTCTTTCTCATTTCACTTGTAGCAGCCACCACCAACCACACTGAGTTGTAGGTGAATGTAAATTTAGGATGTTTTCTCTTTTGCTGGCTAAGTTGAATCATCAATATTTCTTTATTAAGCTTCCTAACCTCTCTTTCTGTGAAACCACCACCTCACTTAGGAGGGAGATATCTGTTAAAAGCCAACAGGTACAGTTTTGCACATAACTTGACCTCCAGCTGGATCTCCCTCTATTTACAGGGGACTCAAGGCAGATCAGACATCCCAAATGTCCAAGTGACACACCGTGAGCAGGCACATCATTACAGGGGCACCATGGAAGTTTATGATGGAAACTGTAAAAACAACRTGTCTCTAAAATGCCAGTTGGACAGTTATTTGTTGAGAGGTAAAAAACAGATTTGCCTTCAGGTCGGTGGCACTTCCCGGGCACATGATTTAAATGCTGGAGCTGCCTGCCATCCCAGACATCTGGACATGTAATTTCTTAAGGAAGAACTCAACCCCGTGACTGGTGCTGATTCATTGTGCTTTAATTACAGCTGCAATTATTTGATAAGAACAGAGCCAAAGTAAAAGACTCACAGATTTGGGGTTGGAGGGGGAGAGGAGGGAAATGTTTTCTCCACAAACACCACCATATGTGCAAGAATTACAAGTCTAATCAGCAAGGGGAGAACAGCTCGAGTAAACTGCGCTGATTAAATGAAATAAAATGAGAGGAGAGGAAGAGAATGCAAAACACATCCAGCATGTTTGCAACAGGCCACCCTCAGAGGGGGCACATSACAACAGCATTTCAATTATTGGGATTTATCAAGTGGGATCACTGTACTGATTGTGTCCCCCCACAAAAGGGGTCTTCAAGGAGCTGAGAACGAGGATAAAAGGGATAGAAAGGTTAGTTAAGTTGCTTTAAGCCCTACAGGAAGTGAGAAGCATAGAGGACACTTTAAGGTGTTGCTTTGCTTTAGAAAAAGTATCTTTCCTTCAGGAAATATCAAGATGCTATTCCAACAAAAAAAATTCTCTATCTGAAAGATTCATCAGAAATGAAGAAATGTCACCAATAACTGGTCAAGAATTGTGTCTYTTGGGACAGGACAGCTGTCTACCCTGGGTAGGAGCCCAAAAAAAAGGTGAGATAATTGCAATTCCTCTCTTCATGATTTAGACATTTCCCTGTGGTTACAGATCAGCCATGCACCTTTTGCTGCTGGAAACAAATGGCAAGAGGCAAGATCTTAGCTCATTTTTTCAAAGCATTATTGTTTTTGAAGAGCTCTGAAATTCTGAATTAAATTACAAGGCAAATGATATCTTTTCTGCCTAAAAGCTTTGATATTTCCATTCTTTCCAAGTCTTCATTTATATYGCTCCACTTTTATTCCATAAGTGCTACATCTAGTCATGCAAATTCTCTCAGCTGTAGCCTGTTATTGATCCTGAAAACAGAGATATCWGTGGGAAACAGTGAAGGTATGAGATCACACCACCTCCAAAAAGGGAGGGCAGAGAATAGAAAAGCCCCCACCAATGGCCTTTATTTCTTCTATCATATACTAATTTGTATTTGCTGCCAGCAAATTACTGAAATAATGTATTTGGGGTTTTACAAAATTGCATGGCAAAGAGAACAACAGATAAGCCTGGCTGCTGTTTTAGTGAGTTCTGCTGATATCTAAGCTACATAAGGAAAGCTTGATTGCTTTCTGATGTATCCAGAAGCCCAAGAGAGATAAGACAGCCTCCTTACACATGGTTGTTTATTTAAGCATTAAGGCACAACAGGCAGTGCATCTCGGAGTGATTATTCCAAGCCTCAGGTGGTGTCAGAAGGCACAGGACCAAAGGCTGTGTGCCTTTAACTCACCACGAAGTTCTGTGACGACCTAGAAATGAACCATCTCTTGGTGTCTCATTCCTATTATGAAAACTGAATTGCTAAATAAAAATTAGGGTAGCTGCTCAGATCTGTGTGGTTTCTGGGCATTACAGTTGTGACATAATGAGGAGGCGATCAGACAGCTCCACTTGTGTCCGGTGCTCTCAGCTCATCCTGGAATTGCTTTTCATAACCGAGTACACGGAATCTGAGAATTCTGTGTCTGGTGAAAGGAGAAACAGTGCCTGAAAAAGCTTTCTCCTGTTTTTCATTTTTTCTCTCCGCAACAGCAAGATGGGACAAGGTGAAGATAGGAAAAAACATTAACGTGTTCAAAAGCTTTTTTTTTTTTTAATTTCAGATGGAAAATATTTTTAGCTGTTGCTTTTAAAACTTGAAGCATGTCAGCACTGCCAATTCTTTTAAATGTTCAAAAATGAATCTCCTAAATGCTGTTGTTCACCTGAAAATTTTGTTTTGTTTTATTCCTGACACAGTTTGTATTTRTAACAAAGTCCTAACTGAAGGTACCCGAGTTCTGGTTACAATTTCCTAGTAAATTTAGTTTCTGCAGTTTCTGTGTGTGTGTGTGAGCACCTTGAAGGATTTCTCGTCCCAGTTCACCAGTGTAACATGCACTGAGGACAATGCTTTTCTTCAGGCACAATACATCGAAGCTTTTATGAATGAATCCATTCGTTTCTGCTTGCATATAGATTTTTTTTTTTTTTTTTTTGGCCATTCATGTTGCTATCAGCATTTTGTCTCAGCATTTTGTCTTCAAGCCCAGTGTTCCTCTTTGCAGAGGCTGAGGAGTGACACATGAACTCTGTGCAACCATCGTGCTCCGCACAGCTCCTTCTGACCCTGGCTTTAAAAAGGATGGATTTCATTTCCCACTCGATGCTCTTTGGATAATTCGCACAGGCTCATGGAAAGGAAAAAAATCCCAGGTCTGAGGGAAGCACAACCACGGAACCTTCCCCACCTCTGGCAGCTGGAGGCAGCTGCTGCATCTGCTTAAGGAAACCCCTGGATCTAAGCAAGCATGAAAACGCCTCTGTCAGCACAGTGATGTGCAGTGAGGGGATCACACGGGGAGCTTTAGGCACAGGCTTTACAACAGAATGAGCCAAACAATGAGATGGGCAGAGCTGGGCTTCGCAGCACCCTCACTTTGACAAGCTTTTGTCTGTCGCTGCCTCGCCCGCATCAGCGCTTCAAACGGATTGAGATCCTAATGCTGGARCCCTTGTAATGAGAGGGGAAGGGATGCAGAAAAGGAGCAGCCCCTTGATACCAACAGTTCAATAAGCTTTCCAAAAGGCCCTGCGCCATTTCTGGAATTAATTGGCACAGGAGGACATTAATCAGTGGAAACTAATGTTTGCCCCGGTGTGAGTTAAACTGGAAAACGCTGCTGTTGGTTTGTAATGCATCTCCTGTTTATGAAAGGGAAGGTTCGTGCCAAGCTCTGTAACGGTCTATTTGCTCTCAGTAGGATTTCTGCACAAGTGTACTATGACAAAGGACAAAAAGGAAGGGAAGATTGAGTGACGTACTTCAGGAGAAGGCCAGCCCCTGGAGAGACCCTGCAGTGGAGTACTTGCTAGAGTCCACAAAAGACTGGTCTGATAAAGGACGACAACAGGGAATAAGAGAGGAAAGAAAGAAAAAGGACGGTATTAGTAAGCTGAAATATTACTTGTTTTTATCAAAACAGTAGGTCTGTGCTTTAGAAGACACAGCCTCTCAATTCAGCAGTATTAGTTGAGTTAGAGACAGGGTGGTCACCAAACACCTACAGGGTACGAGGTGGGCTGGGGGTGGAGTCCAGTTACTCTTTACAGCAGGAAAATTTAGGACAGAGCCCACCAGGGATCCCCCACTGCCTTCTCTCCCCTGGGACAGCTGGGTGTTGCTTCGAGCCTGGCGAGGCTCCGTGAGCTCGTGGAGCAGCCTGGGTTGCACCTACCTTGCAGGCTATTGCCATTGGTGCTGGTGCAGGTGGGAGGGGGGGACGTTTGGGGTCTCACGACAGGCGCAAACGCACTCTTCTGCTTCACCGCTGAGACCATGTTGGCTGGTGAGAAGGAGAAAATCCCGGAGGAACTGCTACAGTTGGAGGGGAGGCTAGTGGAGGAGGCCATTGTCGGACTCGATGGCACAACTGGAGGAAAGAAAGACCCCCAAAAAGACATTGCTTAGAATTCAATCATAACAGGCTGCAGAAACAAGAGAATTCTTGGATGCTCACAGGTTTTTTTCAGGGCTGAACTGAGTGTTCGAAATGCAAATGTGCTACATGGGAAGCGTGTAATCTTTAAACACATTTATCCTTAAACCATTRTTTTACTATATAGTACAATAAATACCTTTTGTTCATGCATTTACCATCAAGCTTTTAAGTGAATTTCTTTTCATGAAAATAAAGCAAACTACTTTAATCTTCAGAAAGCACTTCCAATTTCCCTTCTTATCCAACAACAACAAAAATAAAGGACCAAAAGAGATATCCCATACTTTCATTCTTTGTCCTGTTTAGAAACTGCTTAGATACACAAGTGGGCTGTGAATAATTACATATTATAGAGTAAAATTCTGATCATCTGGGCTTTGAATTATTRTTTTATTTGCATTTATGTAGATAAAAATCACCCTATTTAAGTTCTTATTTGAGAATCTGATATCATATTTGTTAACACTGAGGAAATCAATTAATGGAAATTAAATGTTCAAAGTTTCACAGTGACAGATATAATCTTAGTCTGAAGTCACTCTGTGTCTGGAAGTACTTGCTAAGGGAGAGCAATCAAAGCACCTAAATTGAATTGCTACTATACAGCAATTAGTTTATTGATTTAATTAAGAATGCCACCTTTTAATTTTCAGGTCATGATTGAAGCATTTTCTGATTCAATGGATTAGGCATTAGCAGAATGACAGCTCTACCAAGAAAACCTCCCAAAATATAAATAGAATAGAGATTCAGGGCTGGGAAGTGAAGTGCTATTGTAAAGAGGACTTCGTTCATAAATATGAAATAATACACTGCTACAGTATTTTAAATGCATTACTGGCATCTGCTTCCAAAAGGAGATGTCTCATCAATCATGTTATATTATGAATTCAGAGTGTGCAGATTCTGTGACAGTAAATCCAACTTAATAAGTAAGGTACTTTGTAACATTACATGTTACATTATTATTAGCGTACAAAAATAATCACTGGTTAGCAATTCCCAGGTTATAAGTACTAGTTATGTGGGTAAATAATTTGCTCTAAATTTCCAGCAGATAAGAAGCCTTGGAGTTAATTATTTTATTCACAGTTCCCATCCCCTATTTGATTCTGATGCAATGCAAAATAATTCATTGCTGCTGTTACACCGTCAACTTCAGATTTGCTGTGCAGACCTTCAGAAGTCAGTTTGTCCTGCCCGTGCTACTGTCCCAGCCCATAAACCCATTTCTATGTCCAGACCTTCCATCCTGATTCTGCTGTCAGCTTTCTACAGATKTCAGTGAAATCCTTTATGCCTCATGAGCAGTGTCAGAGGAACTGGGCAGGTCCTGCTCATTTGATTTTCTCCTGTGGCCAGGGACTACTGAGCTGAGYGAGCAGCTGCAGAAGAGGTTCATAGGCCTTTGCCAATAGAAATCTATTTATATTTAAACAGCTTACTAAACCTTTAATATCAAAATGCAGAAAGTTAGTCCTACACATAAATATTTCCATGACTGGGAATGTAGACCGTAAGTTCTTYGTGCCATGGAATGTATGATTTGTATGACTTACATTTTTGTGGCATTCACTGTACATACATTAAAACACAAAATCTAAAAGCCTTTGTCACATTTTACTGACTCAGTGTAGTCAAAGTAATACTACTTTAAAAGCAAGTGGAATATAAAGAATCAAGCTTAGGCCCAGCAGTAATTCCTAATCTTTATAAAGGTTCTAAATGTATTATTTGTTCAGAAGTTGAGGACAGTGTTTCTTATTACAGAATATAAGGCAAGTTATGAAACTATCAGACTAAATAATGAGAGACATTATTCTTTGTAAGCTCTTATAAGACTCACAAATAAAAATAATAATAATTAATAATAATATTAAAACAGAGAATTTCTGGCAACACTGATGTCTTCAAAGTGCATCAAAGGTCAGCGCCTTTCAAGTACTCAAAACAGAAAATAAATACTGAGCCTCACGGAAAATCCGCTATCTCCTTCTAATGAAAATGTGCAAAATACATAAAAGACATAAAATACTCACTGGCATAGGGAGAATTGGCAGCAGATCCATTCAGAAAGGTTGGAGAACCGCCTAAATTTGACATTCCAGCATTGCCATAGCCATTCATGCTTGTTGTGACAGAGTTGTAGTTTGTCTGCTGCGGGGTGGTGCTTGGCACGTAGCCATGAGGTGACACACTGCTGGAGTTGCGAGTGAAACCTTGCATGGGGAGGGAACAGGCAGAAATCAGAATTAGCCCCACAAGGGTTCCCTACACAAACAGGAGATGAYGRCACMGAGGGGGAGCTCAGCCCAGCCAGGRAGCACAGGGAGGGACAGCACTGACCCCAGGACCACCCAAACTGGGAGCCCTCCCTGCTGGAGGCAGCACAAAGCTGGAGGAGAGAGGCTGGAGCCTCCAGAGCTCCCCAGGCAACCCATGCCCTGCAGCAAAGATCACCAGGGTGTCAGAGGAACACTCGCTCTGAAAGRGCTGCTTGTAGGAACCGCAGTAAACATGACCTACATTAACAAAGTGAGGAGCCCAGACCCACTCAAGGTATGTTAGAAACACGTGGCTGTTGTTAACTCTTTTCTGATGTCACTGTCATTTAACACAACTCAGATGCTCACTGCACACYTCAGGAAATGCAGAGTGTTTTGTCTTTTTGCCTTGGTCTGATCATTGTGTCGGTTGGAAATGAGCGTCAAATTTGACAGCAAGTTAAAATTTGAATCTCTGCCTAACTCTGGAAATGACATTTTAGAAAATTCACATCCAAATATTCATAAAGGAAGATATGTTTCTAGAAGCACAGAAATACAAAATGGGGGTTTTTTCCTAAAAATAATTTTGTACTWTTTTAGTGTAATGCAAAATATTTTTGTCTACTCTTCTAGAAAACAGCCTYGTACTAACACTTTCTCATTAAAGTATTTTTAAATTGTATAATATACAGAGCTGAACAAAGGAGAAGGCATAATGCAAAGGGCTTTTAGAAAAATGTTCTTCACCTATTTTTTATCTTTAAACTGTGGGAATTAAACCAATACTGATTTTATTCAAAGTGCAAAACACTGTATTTTAAAAATTAGACAAAGTCTGAAAATGTCTTTGTAAGTACTTCTATTCTTTGCTAGATATAAAATTTATGAAAGTCTCAAACTCTGAAAAATGCACAGAGCAAATGCTCTGTCTCTTGCCAAACAAACCCAAATCAAATAGACAAACACTCAAGAGATAATTTCATGTTATAAAGAAGTGCTACATGAGGCCCAGACTGAGAGATCATCCATGTTCAGGGAAATATATAAGCAAGTACTTAACATTAAGTACATGCTGAAGCTGATTAAAATTAGTGGGATTTAAACACAAATACAAGTATTACTCTGGGCAGAATAAAAAGCTATTTAGAGATACTCAGAAGTGCTTTTCCCAAGTTAGGGCAGCCCATCCTGTGTCATTCCAAGGATCTGGGATGAGCTGCCCAGMCCTGCTCCAGCCCTGAGCCATCCCTCTGCACGTCCCCCTGACTTTTATCAGAAAAGATCCAGACAGAGAGGAAGATGAGTCTTCTCCTGACCCTGGTTGGTGGCTTGGGAGGCTTCGGAGACATTGACAGCCAGCTGGCCACTAAAGGAGTTCACTCCCATCATTCCCGCGTGGACGGAGGTGTTAGCGAGGGCGGGGAGCTGGTTGTGGTTGCGGGGGACACTGTAGAGCGCTTCGGCAATGTCTGCAGCTCTTTTCAGGATTATTTCCTGCAAGATAAGAAGGAAAAAAAAAGCCAGAAGAGTTACCAATGAGACTCTGACAAACTTCTTCGTACAGACTCAAATGAAATAGTTCCCTGTCCAAAGGCTAAAAGTAGATGYTTTTCTTTCTAAACCAGCTGGCTGACTGAGAGCTAATGCTCACAGGATCTGCTGCCTTCCTGATAAATCCTGACATCTGTGCTAAGAGAGTCGGAAGTCTCATTCCCAGCGGCCACACTCTGTATAAAAAGACCAACTGGAAGGATGGGGCTGGAGCCTGGGCTTGSTCCACCTTAGAGTTCTCTTTAGGGGAAGTTGGAAAAATCACTGGTGGCAAAACATAATGCAGTACATTGCCCATATTRTATAGGAACTGGTGAAAGTGGGAAAACGGCTCCGTGGTGCTTTTACAAACACTAAACTCAMCCCCTTTAAAGAAGAAAACAAGCAAACTAAACCCCACTCCAGATATGACATTACCCTCTACATTTATTCTTGTCTCCCACTGTAGTATCATATCCCTTTAGCCCCTGCTTTATCTATACATCTAAGAAATAGCCATRTTATAGAAATACTGAAGTAGAATGCATTTACCTGGTTATTATGTGGCATACCATAGAGTGCTTCTACTAAATCAGCAGCCCTCTTAAGTATTACTTCCTGTCAATATAAAAACAGAAGCATTCTACTGAGTTCAATAAACTCCTCGTGGAGAAAACAAATATTAGAATCTTTTATTCTCTTCTATTAGGTGCACCGTTTTGTAGTGGTTTTTTTTCTTTTTTTTTTTTTTTCTCCCACCAGGTAAACCTTAATTGTAACAACTCTCAGCAACTGCTGAATGGTGTTAAATCACTGGTTCATCCTATTCACACACACGCTTAATCAAGTCAAAAGGTGAGAATCATTGGTGCTGCAAAATAAAATACATCACTCAATTGTCTCTACCATCTGCACTATAAACCACTCATGGGTTTATTGCAGAATACAATCCCGAGGTCATTTACTAGATTACTGCAATCAATGTCATTCAGAGCATGTTATGAATCCCTTCAATGTGTTTATTTTATTCTTAATTGCATGCTGCAGGAATTGTGACCTTACCCAGCGGGCCACATTCTGAGGATACCCAATCCCTCCTGTGCTCCTGGTATTGTAACCCTTTGGCTTCTTCRGTTTGTGTCCTGGTATGAGGGGTGAGGGCAGGATCCATGAACATGAAATGATGCCCAAGAGGAAATCACATGCAGTGTGTGAGGGGATGACCCAGGACCAGGCACAGTTTCCTGGAAAAATTCCCTGCATGGACAGCTGACTTTAAAACAGTCTGGGATTTAGTTCTCCATTTTGGTCATTTTCCCCCCTCCATTTTCTTATTTTTTCCTTTTCATTTAATATTTCTTAGGGTATTTTCTACTTTCATTCAAGTAACAATAGCATTTCCCATGTTCTTACAATTTACAACCTCCTGATGATAATCCTGATAGAAAATATAAAAATGCATAGCAGAATTAACCCAGAAGAATTCTGTTCCTTTTATTTCAAGGCATCTTTCAAAGCAGATTCCCAAATGCCYGATCAAACCCGGTCAAGAACATCCTTTGAGTAAAACAATGTATTTTTGTAGTTCCCAGCCCCTAAGTACTGCTCTAATATTCTAACATGACGCTCTTCACCGTGGCACATTTCTGCAGGTAGCTTACAAAAATAGTACCAGTTCTAAGGATTTTACGGTTTTCTACAAAGTTAAACTTTTAAACTTAAAATATTTTACACAAAAGCCWTATTTTATACCAAAAAGAAACAGTAATGCTCAATTTTCATATACTGTAGACTCTGATCAGAAAATAGAGATATAATTGCGTTCATTTTGCTGTCACCATAACCTCTTCAAAAATCCTTGAACAACTCTTCAAATGACAAGCTTTTAGATGCATATTAGCATTTTTTTCAATTTTAAATTCTCTATAATRTAAGATAAAATAGTTGTCATACTGCAGTAACTACTTATGACATATATAATGTCCTAAATTCAAAAATGAGATGGAGGATTTTTGTTCTCCCAGTAAACATTTAGGCTTGCCTTCTGCTGCACACACCCCTGTCTCAGAACACACATTTAAATTATTTTCCACATATGAAGTGAGATGCAATACATAATTGATGGGTTTTTAAATCACTACATTTGAAACAGATTCTGAGGAGTTAAGTTGCTACAGCCTTTTTCTGTTGGTGGGGTTTGTTTGCTTTGTTTGTTTGCTTGATTTTTAAGATTGGGGTGGGTTTTCTGCAGCAATTCTTGGTTTGGGGTGTTTTTTTTTTTGTTTTTTTGGCCATAGCAGTGAGCAGTATAATCACAGACACAAACAGCATCCAGGTTCAAATAATCCTTGTTCATCACAACACTGAATTGCCCTTTTTGCCTCATACTGAAGATACAAACCAGAGAAGAACAGAGACGTTACTGAAAAAATGTTCTCTTTTTCAAGCCATGATTTTAGATGGAAAATTACAGCACAGGTGCTTGACTTTGCAAACTAGGATTTATTTCACTTCAGTAGAAATTGTTTGCAGTATATATTTCACTGATGGAAAATTAGAATGTGATACAGAGCCCACAAACTGCTCTGGTATATTGTTAACCTAAGCTGTCATTATGCCAAATTACTAAAAAAAGAAAGTTTAAATAGTCATTTCTGCTCTACCTGACTAATCATAGTTATTTATATAATGCTGAGCTAAAAACCTGAGAGTGCATCTAAAAAGAGATTGAAAACCGTGTTAAAAAATGAGGTAATTACATAGAATCTTACAGCTGCTCTACCTAATATCAAATATATTTCAGTTCTCAAACACTGGAAGTTCTCTGATGCCATATCATATTGCATGTAAATAAAACTAATTGTCGTGATGGTTTATTGAAACATTCTTGACAAGTACCGTTCAATTTTCTTTGCTACTCAATGGCTATATTTTTTTCCAACATTTTCAGAGTCTGTAAATTTGAGTCCTATACTTTCTCTAACAATATTTTTACACAATAAAAGCATTTCTTGTTTATGACATTTTCAGATCACACAAAGTACATGTTACACAAAAAAACCCTCTCCTGTGTCAAATAGTGGTATCTTCGATTCCAGAGCTGACGGTGCTTCTTATAGACACAAACCAGCTTTAAAAATACACAATAAAATGCTGCTACAGACAGGCTCAAGATATTAACTTCTTGTTTTCTGAATGTCTCCAACCCTTTGCAGCTCTGCCTAAATTACAAATAGGAGCTGCTCCACATACAAAGGAGCCCCCAAAGTCCTCTATAAGTTAGAGCAGCAGACCTTGCAAGGTGCTTGGATTGCAGTGACCAGAAAATTGTTCTCACCTCCATGTCATTACGCTCACAGTGAAGCAGCCCCCGAGCATGTTTGTGTTCGGGATCTAATATATTGCCTTTCAATCAGAGCTGAGAGCCACTGAACACATAGACAGAACATGACGAGCAGGTCAGGAAAGCAATAAAGATTTTACAGAGCTGTCCAAGGTGCTAAATTTACTCAATAATGGGTTTGGCACCATAGTGTTAACCTCTCATTTACTACCAGTTTGAGGGACTAAATTGAAGTAGCTGACTTCATTTACCTTGAAATGTATATTTTATGACATTATGTAAGTAGATTGAAAGGGCACTGCAGTTTTAACAATTTAAAGGCTAGAGCATGTTTAAGATGAAGCTTGAATATTTATCGTATATTGCACTTAAACTATATTGTATATTAAAATGCATTGATTAAATTTGTAAAAAGTATTATAAAAAAGGACAGCTAGTATAAAAGATCTATGTCTTTTAAAATCCAGTTGATACTGCACGTTACCACTGCAATGGTAACAGATAAACAGATAGAGGGGTGGACAGAGCAAAAAGTGAGTGAAACTCACATTCTATAAAAGAAATCTCTGCATAAGCTYAAGGTCTGTTATTCCAGATATTCTTTTGTTCACAGAAATTTTTCTTTGCCTTCGTCTCAGAAGCCTGGATTTTCATAGCAGTAAGTGGGCATCGTGTAAGGTCCTTCCAATTGAATATGCAAGTGGAAATATTTCCTGAGAGAGACAGAGTTTGACTAAAGCTAATATCTAATTTATGGGGGCATTTGTCAAGGAAGATCCACTTTTCTATTAATGCTAGAAGTCTGACAGCATTTGGGTTAGAATAAAAGACTTAGCAGCATTTAGCTAAAGTGAGGGTCTTCTTGTTTTGCATTTTGTTTCAAATGACCATAATTTTATTTCTATAAAAACAATGATTAAGCAAATATTGAGAAAAGGAAAGATTAATTTAGTAATTAAACATGTTACATGAAAACCCTGCACTTCACGAAGCTACACACCAAAAATCCAGAGTCCATTTTTACTCCAAACTGAAGTGGATTTTCTACTGAGGTATTTTTACTTTTTAGATTTTTGAAAGAGGCACACAGTTAAATATTTTGATCAAGTTTTCTTCTTGAAGATACTAAGGCATGTCTACATACACAAAAGAGGGGGTGAGTAGTAAAGTCTACTGTGACTTTGTATATCCCAAAGCTACTGTAGAAAAGATACAATAAATCATACTGGAATAACTGTGCTTTTGAAGCACAAAGACTGAAATTCAAACTGAATCCACTTCTGTCTGAATGTACCTCGAACACTACAGCACCTCTGCATGTTTTGTTGGAGGCCTGCATTCCCTTCAGAAGGAATTCATTAAGAACATGAAACTTGCATTTCAAGTTTTATCATGATGAAAACATTTTGCGTCAAGATTTATCATGACAAACGCATTTTATGTTAGCTTTAAAAGAGGTGGGATATTTCTTCTAGTAACATSTGCTTATTTTTTATTCAGAAACTCGTGAAAAAAAAATCCACTCTGTGTCCCAAAAGGGCTGTGAGCCTGGTGAGATAAAGGGTATCTAGAGTTACACTGAGTTGTTTGGCTTAAGTAACTAAATTAGATAATGTTCAAGGTACTTGTTAAATCGAAATGAATTTTGTCAAGAAGAAGCTGACCACAATATATAACACTCATCAGCCACATATTGTATTATTGAGACCACCACAGGATTTATGAACTCGTGGAGGGCGTGAGGGGGAAGCTGTTCCAGCATCCTCGGAGGCATTTATCTTATGTGTTGTCTGGATATCATATCACCTTCTAATGCTCTTTAGCATTGTAATACCAGAGAGAGCTCATTCATCTTCTGAGAGGGTACTTAGGGATGATGATGTCATTCATACTTCCTTGACTCTCATGTCTGACCTCCTGCCTCTGCCTTCTAACTTCCTACTCTCATGGCTACTTGCAAGAAAAAAACTCCTCTGCAGACTCAAAATGCTCAGCATCAGGCTCCAGTTCACTCCTTCACTTTGGAAAGGTCACCAAGGTTTGGAAATTTTGAGTCAAAATCACAATAATTTGCGCTCAAACTTTCCCTTTGATTTTCAATTGGGGAAACTTTAAATGTGACAGTTAAATTAGAAGTTAACTTACATTTGAAATTTGTGTATGCATTATATTTTAAAGGCTAAAATTGTGAACACCTYATTCAGATGTAAAGGCAAAACGAAGAGAGATATACAGAAGGATGCCAAGGATCTAAAATGCCAGTCACTGATCTTGG